GAATCGTTTTTCGGCTGGGATCATATAAAACAAAAACTCAAACAGCAAAAGAGAAACTCAAATGATAAATTAGAACAAAATTAAATATTAATCCTACTTAACACGAATAAAATGGGCAATTTCTTATTTCTCGAAATAGGCAATACAATGTGGAATCTATACTGTACAATTACGTATACATGAATGTTTTTTTTTCTTCGTTTCTGTAAACGTCTCTGTTTATATGATAATAAATGGAATTAAAAGTTAAAGAGATACTGTATATGTTTGCAAAAATGCATTAGATGATATCCGAGACTTTAGTTGCATGCGAGCCGAACCGAGCTTCGAGTCACGACCCTACGAGCTGGATCGAGTCCGTACTGACCTTATAACATTGTGGTCGAGCCGAGTCGCTCTCTAGCGATCTCTGGCGAGTGCGAGCCGTCGAAAGCTCTGGTTCGCCCACCTCTGGTCCGCATAAGGTCGATAATCACAAAAACTGCTTTTCGCAACTTTCTTACACGTAAACGACTAACCGTTATGTTGTCTATAGGTGCTATGTATCGCCATGCATGAGGCACTTCGCTTATGGTTTTATTTATTAATATACATGCTGTATACAGTATTTGATTCTGAATGCATTACGATTCATAGCACCTATATGCAATACAATCGTTCTCAGTTCTTTTCAATTTCAAAACTACTAACAAAACGACATTTGACCGTTACAGTTATGTGAACAGGGTATCAAGTATACAATAGCAAATTCCCATTACTTGATAATAGTCGTTCAAAGCCCGCATAAGGTCGGTAATCGGTCCATTCTCTTTTTAGAGTAATAATGATTTCGTATGTAGTAAAAAAGTATTTCTATTCCATTCCGGGTAAAATCAGATACTTTTGTGCGCTAAAATGTTCTTGTATTGTTGGAGATAGTTTTGACGTTTAATTTTTCTGAGCAATTTTATACCCATTTAATCTAACTTTGAAAATTTATTTTGGGCTGCATGGAATGAAGGACACCTCAAACTATCTGTCTACGTACAAATCAGAGCTTGCTAAGTAGTTCTGTAACAGAAAAAATATATACCAAACCGTCTGCAAAGAAGAGCAAAAACGGGTGAAATTCCGTAACGATCACTTTTATTCGATTTCTTCTGCCAGAGAACTAACTCAAGAAAAGGTCAGTAGTGATTCGGATAGCCCAAACTGTGAGCTTTAATTTGGCAATAAAATAATCATTTTTAAATTAAGTTTAGGCGAGCGATGTCAGGATTATTACATTTTGGCTAACTTGCTCTATACAACGTGTATATCAATATGTGTGCGTTGTAGACATTCATCCTTTCTAGGCATTCATTCTAGATATTCACGCCTTGTGGACATTCATCTTAACCAACAACCAGAAAAAGATGTCTCGACTGGGAGTAGAATTCAGAAGATCGATTAACAAGACCAATGATCTAACCACTGAGCTATCGAGATCCAGTCTTCGACATGCTTTTCCAAGTGACTGATCTTTGTTAACAAATCTTCGTTCGATAGCGATTTTCATTTTGTTTGTTTATCGATAATTTCGCCACTAAAAACTATTTTTTTACCTTTATTACAATAAAGTCCTTGTTCATTCTCAAATTTAGTTTGATTTAGTCAGATCAAATATTAGAAGTTTATGGCGTCTGAAGAGAAGAACAGTGAATGCTCGAATTTATTTGACTTTGGAATCTGTGCACATAAGGTAACTCGAGGTCAAATTAAAATGTACTTAGGATATTAACAATTCATTATAGTGCATGACACCTTTTACTTAACCATTTCATTGTGTGACACTTGCGTAAATCGATTATTACTATGGTTGATTTATGGTTATCGATAAATCATTAATTTAGATACAGCTTTGTTTTATATGAAAATAATTGAAACCTTTTTTAATGTTGATATAAAACAATTTATTGTCCTTTATTCGTCAAAAATCCAATAATATTACAATGAAATTTCTCATTTTATTCGGCATACTCTTTAAATTATCTTCTGCTGATTTCTATTGTGATTGCAGTAATAAGCAAACATTCTCAGCCGAATTTAATGTTGAGTGGTTTTTCGCTGCACCTGATGGTTATATACGACATGTGTTGGGTATTAATCGACAATTTCCTGCTCCAGTCATTCATGTTTGTAAAGGTGATACTATTAAAATCACGGTGATAAATAAAATAGATGCTCCAACGAGCATCCACTGGCATGGAATGTTTCAGTATGGAACATTGACAAGTGATGGTGTTCCAGGAGTAACTCAATGTGCAATTCAACCTGGGGACTATTATCAATACAAGTTCCACACTGATTATCAGGCAGGTACATACTGGTATCATTCTCATTATTCTGTTCAATATATCGATGGACTTAAAGGTGCTTTAATCATACACGATCCAAAAGATCCATGGATATCCGCGTATGAAGATGAAGATATTTTAATGTTAACTGATTGGTATCATACATTAGCTTTAGATTTAGAAGCCTACTATTTATCTCCTGCTAGTAATGGCACGGAACCAATACCCGATACAGCATTGATCAACGGTATTGGTCAGTATAATTGTTCTTTAGTAAATAAATGTTCATATTATGATACTATAATTCAAGTGAATACAACAAAACGATTTCGTATTATAAACACGTCGGCCTTTGCCGTATTTGTTTTAACTATACACGGTCACAAAATGCGAATGATCGAAGCTGATGGTGTCAATTTGGATGGAAACATTATTGTTGATAGTTTACGGATAAATGCTGGACAGAGATATTCTGTTCTTGTGCACGCTAACGAACAAAATCCAAAACGGAATTATTGGATTCAAGCAACGATCGATTCAGATGTAATGGCTAGCGCACCTGTACAACCAACTGTCAAAGCCATTTTACGGTATGTAGATGAAAATGGCTGTTATGTATCATCCAAAAAGCCAATCAATTCTCATCTTAATTCTACAGATGATAATTTAAAAATCTTAGATTCAATTCATGAAGGTGATCAATTTATCGATATATATTCATCACTTGTGCCGTTGGACTCACCAGTTCCACAACAGAGCACTAAAAAGGTATTAATTGAGATTGAATTTTATGCTAATGATGAAAACGTGAATTTAGCTCATTTTAATAATATTAGCTTTTTACATTTGATGGATACAACATTACTCTCATTAACGCGAGCTCAACAGCCTTATCCACAATCGAATAACGTTCAAATAATTCAATATGGTGATATAATCGATATTATTTTGAATAACCATGATACTGGTGAGCATCCCATTCATTTACATGGCCACATATTTTGGATTCTTGCAGCTGGAAAAACAAATGACGGTGATTATAATTCGAGTCAAGTTGTGTTAAACACATTGAACCCTCTAGCGCGTGATACAGCCTCAATAAATCCCATTAGTTACATGGTATTACGTTTCGAAGCAAATAATCCTGGCTTATGGATGATGCATTGTCATATTGACTGGCATTTACAAGCGGGTCTAGCACTTGTCTGGGCAGAAGCCGCTGAGCTACTCCATTACAAGTACGGATTATCCAAAGAACTCGACGTATGTGCCGCATACTAAGAAATTTAATGTGTTAAGGAGATATTAACAATGCTCAAAAATATTTACACATTTGTCGAAGCAATTTCTATCCGCGAATATGTGAATGTGATATAAAGCAAACCGAAATCTTTCGTAAAAAACCATCTAGTGAGAGAATGTCAATGGTCGTTAAATATCCCAAACCCTGTATCTGTGGTATAATCAGCGTAAAAAAATTATTCAATAAACATAAAATATTTGAAAACGAACTCTGGCATATCTATCCCTGCATTGACATACACCACCATTATAAATTGTTTTTTCCGATCATACTATAAAATAAAAAGTAATTTAGGTAGCTATACACGCATTTCACTTTCACAAATATGTGACAAATCTTCAAATTACGATACGTTTGTCTAATAAATTCTGCCCTTCATTATATGATGTTTTAACAAAAATAAAACTCTGATAAACCGTACAACAGTGAACACCGCGGTGGCACATTTCTGATCTCTAGTTCGATAAAAATCACTTCGTCAAAGCTTGCACAATATTCTTAACTGAATTGAATAATAATCCCACTAACTTCCCTGCGTAAAGTCCAGAAACATTCAACGGCAACCTTCGAGGTTTCAGAACCGAAGGTCAGTCTGTTGTCATGACTTCTGGCCCGATGAGGCAATATTGCCCGTTCTGGCAAGATATATTGCCTGTAGAGGCAATATGGTCAAATCGGGCAAGGAGTACCTTGCCACTTTTGGCCAGATTTCCACATTTTTCTCTCGCAAAGCGTCAGCGCAGAAATGAAAGCGATGGCGCATAAAGAAACTTATTCCACTTGAAAGAGCATCAAAAACTGCATAAGATGACGCTTACCTACAATGGATAGGTGCTTGGATAGGGTACTTATATTAAAAAAAACTTTCTAGTAAGGCTTCGTACACATATAAATGTGCGTAAAGTACAAATAAATGTATGTAGATCAATCAATATATCTGACAAGATATATTGCCGAAACGGGCAATACTGACCTTGCTCGAACTAGCAATATTGCCAGATTAGGAAAGATAAAATAGACGATATTGAGCTAAATTTGTTTTCCATTTCTCCCATGAGAAAGAAAAAAGATGGAACACATAATTTTGATGCACAATGAATATACAACATGCAAGAAGAAGAATAAGCACTTGCCACCCGCTAGAGGACCTATGGTTTCCAAGATAGCATCTTGCCTGATCGGGCAAGTGACAACGGACTGAAGGTGTTTGGAATGAATTATTGTGAAGCAAATGTTTCCGAATCCCCAAATAAAAATTGGGTCTCAGATGTTTTAATCAAAGCACAGCGTTTCAAGACAATAATGATCACTACTGCACACATTTTTGGGATAATTGAGACACGATTCTTTATACAAAAACGAAAATAGCTATAGTGTTTCCCAAATAAAACATCCATGTACTGAAAAAACCTCAAAGAGCAGAACAGAGAGTAACATGACGCTTCGTACAGCACAACACGCTAATAAATAAAAAATTTGGATGTGATGGCCTGCACATTTAGGTGCTTCTGCTAAAGAGCGGAACTGACAGTGTTGATGAATGAATACGAGCGTCAAAGTCATTGCTTTAGATCTTGACGATTCAAAGAAACGTAAATGGCCTGCACAATTCTTAACTGGTGAAGCACTAAGATGGTATCTCACTTAGCGTACGACCATCACAACCTGGGATGAATTTCCACACACATTACGAACAAATTATCCACCACCGGCGGAACCTACACGTTCAAGTATTTTCCAACAAATATTATCTCGAAAACAACAGTCCGATGAAAATTTATACATTATTATACTGACATAAAAAAGTCTGTTACCAATACGATCCAGCCATGTCAACCACAGAACTGCAACCTCCACCGTCAGCAGCCGCAATTTTCTTCCTTTTATCCTTCGTCGCAGTACTATCACAATTATCGTCAACGGATACCACCTTACTGATCATATCAATTGTCCTCCTCACAGGCTTTCCAACGTCCATGCAGTCAGTCTAACACATGCTATCGATGTGCACAACATGGACATTATGCTCGTGGATGTTTAAAACGATGATAGGGGATCCTGATGGTGTTACACCCATTTACTCACGAAAATCATCATTATTACATACTCATACCTCTGCACATCTTCCATTTCATCTTCAACAATCGTTCACACGTCGTTAACAGCTACTTACATGTAATCCATCTTTGATTTTTATACACGTTTACGTCAAAAACCGAAAAACTCGCGCTCTCGTTGATTCAGGAGCATCGCATTCGTTCATCACACACACGCCCTCGCTAAACTTCGTCACTTCCCACTTCGCCCGTCAGACATCGGGACCCATTCCTCTTCTCCTATCAGAATATCGGGCACGGTTAGTCTGAACATCCGATTTAACGAAATCGTCACATCAGTGGACGTATTAGTCGTGAAAAAATTAAATTTTGATTTTATCCTTGGCACCGACTGGTTCATCCAAACAGGTGCGAGGATTGAGTATTATCGTAATCAAGTTTCTATTCGTTCATTTACTGGTTGCTCGTCTATCCCATTTGATAAAAACATAAAAACACTCTATTAAAAATACAAAAGTATTCTACCGTTATTAAAATTTTTAACAATAGCGATTACCCACGAACTTTATACAAAAACGCTGTTATCGGACAATTACTTACACACCACACAACGCTCAGAGTTTCTCAGTTAATTTTCACCCATTGCAACAACACATAGCGTCCCTAAACTCCATTCAAGCGACATCTCCAATTCCGTCCGCGTCCGAAACTATTACTAAGTTAGTTTCAAATCGTAATGCTGCAAAATGCCATTGGTTCTATTTCTTTTTTCACATAGGAAAGACGTATTTCTTTGTTCTCGTCGTAAACAACTATATCCATCATAGCGCTATTTTATATTGTCCATTGATAATAATAATTTTTATTAATCAATTATCGCTATTATTTATAGTTATGACACCTAAAAGTTCACAAAAATCGTCAAAAATCCATCTATAAAAACTTCAGCAAAACCAACAACTGATAATACAGGTATTATCAGTTACATATTCGTATTATTTGCTATCATCAGAAGCTATATCAGAAAACCTTGTAGAAAACCGGAAAGTCCATCTGAAATTTTCATCAAAACTAAAGTTTTGGTATGCTGGGCAGCGATATCGGCAGCCGTATAACTCAAAAACTGAACGGTACCTTTTCTAAAAAATGACTTGACGTAGAGTACAACTCGGATGTTAGAACACACACAGAATAATTGATTCAGCATATAAAAATATAAAATTTATTCTTTTGTCCTTTCCTGCTTTCTATGTTCACATCTATATGCGCGAAGAAGGAAGAAAGATCAAAAAGATGGCTTTCTTTGAAGTTGGAAAGTGAATGGAGTTGTACTGTAGTGTAGGAAAATGTAAAATTTCATCACGGAAATCCTAGAATAAAAATCACAGTTGCGTTAGGGAGATCTTTTCGAATTACAAGGCAATTGACTACGCCTAATATCTAGGACTTCCAAAATAGTTTGCTTTGGAAAATAATGGTCAAAAACTTTCATATGTTACGCCTTTCCGTTTCGTGATTCGTATAGTTCAGCAGCAGCATGAGTCTATTCTATCATTAGTCTATGTAATACCTGAACAAACCCACTATGAGAACGATAGTGAAAAATCATTCTTACTGTTTAAGACCATATTAGCAGTGATACGGCCAAATAGAATATACATATTACCAATAATTAATTATCACAGTTGTATGTACTTTGATATGTTATATATAAGAGTTAATAAAAAGTAATCTATAGAAAAAGATAAATAAAACGATGAAGAAAAGATAGATATTATATATTTCTCTCTTATACAAACATCAAAGGGAAGCTCTTTACGTTATACAATTGTTACGTTTGTTACTTTGCTCCGATCATAATTTTGACGGCCTCCCTTAGTTATGAAATGTCAATAAGGAGATAAAAATGTGAAATTCTGGCTGTAGATAGCGATGAGAGATGAAGAGTAAGTAAACTATCTTCTTTTTGCCCAGTCAAGGGGAGATCGAAAAAGCCTGAAACGATCATATTTTAAGGATCGCCCAAGAAAATAAGCTGAATCAAGTTGATTGATCGTCATTTAAGCTACAAAATTTCAAGTTATTCTTGTTTGTCGTTTTTGAAACAAAAGGGTTGCCGTAACCATTCATTCAAAAATAGCCATCTATAAATTTGAAAAGGATGGTGGATTTTTTTGCTTATATAACGGTTCATCCAAAAGTAACGGGAAAAAATCATTTTCTTTTTCTGGGATACTTAAGTGTAGCTTGATGACTCCATTATAGTCTCATTCGATAGAGAAGTTTCCGTTCTGCAAAGCCCTTTATATTCGATATTTACATATTGTTTCGTTATTCTAAAAAGTAACGTAGAGTAAGGGTAGGTCAGAAGTAGAACTGCGACGCTCACTCAGGATTCTGATGATTTTCCGACTTTTGAGCAGTCTTTTGCGAAATAAAGTAGAAACTGACGGAAGAGGATAATAAGTACAGAAATGTTCAGCAGATTCAAAGCGATCTTTCTGACGCTTGTTCATTGGACAATACAAAATTTCAAAAACTCGTCGTGCATAAGGGAAGTCGTCAAAATTCGCATCGATGAATTTATTCACCTGTAACTGGAAAGAAAATTGTGTACACTTGTGTACAGTACTATACTGCACTGTATTCAAGGGGGAAACAGCTGATTTTTGGATTTTGTCGATTTTGCTGATTTTCATCGATTTTCACCAAATGAAAAGTCACTGGAAATGACTGGAAATTATTGAAAATCATAGAGAATTACAGAGAATCAGTGAAAATCAATTGATTTTGGGTGATTTGCCACTTATTTTTATATTACACTTTATATATTGTTTTGCGATCTCTTATATTTTGTTAAATTCAGTTCCAAGGACTTTGTTAAAATAGAAAACAATTAGCCGAAGGATGTGGTGTGAATGTACAACATACTGGATTTTGTGGAGCAGACAATGCTCTATCTTGCATGGCTGGAAGGAATCTTGGAAGGCTAATAGCGAACATGAGACACCTGCAAACACTTACAGATACCCACAGACATCATACAGACATCCACGGACAACCAAAATAGCTACACAGACATCCATGGTCATCATAGAAATATTATTCAATAGTCAGTTAGGTGGAGTACCACAAAAACAACAACATGTTTCTTCCATCGCAGTTCTACTACCTGAAGATTAGGTGGCCTTCTATTATGAGGGAGTTACTTTCAGTTTTAACACGTAACATCCGTGACTGCTTTTTTTATTGAACACCGATAACAATCTGAGATTTACAACAATTTTGAGTTATAGTACCAAACCACATGGAAATCAAACTCAAGATGGAGTCTGACCGATCTGTGAAAACATTTCCAGTCTTGTATTGTAACTGCAATTCAGCTCTGATACGCGAAGATTGGAAAGGTGTCAGACTGCTTAGAGATGGTCCACCAGAAAACCAAGTATAAGAGTCCGAGACAAAATTTATTTTCAACTCTTTTCTGTCTCATTTAAAACATCGATCCATTATGCTGCTAAATCCCAAATTCTTCCTTTTGGATGCTTCCTTACAAAGTTAGCTTAGTCAAATTTTTCAAGATTTTTCGAAAAAGCTAATCATTTTTAATTTTAATTTTTTTAAACATTAAAGCATTAATATTCTTTCATACGCCCAACAGTAGCAGAGTGCTTGGTCAAAAAAATACTTCTAATAACATAGTTTGAGCGAGAGCAAAATAAAAATCTTAAAATGTTTCCGAATCGCCTTCGATACATTTATTTTTGATTAATTTGATTTCATTTTGATACTTTATTGAGTCTGGATGTGTCAATGGTAATGTGCTTAATGCTTTTTCGTAATGAATGATAGAGTTTCTGTAGTCTTTTAGCTTGTTATAAACCGAAGCAATAGAACCGTTTACTGCTGAAATGTAAAAAGGTGACCGTTGCACAAGGAGAATTTGAAGTGATTTTTCGTACATATCCAATGCTTTTCCGTACTCCATATTTGTTTCATAAGCTAAACCAAATGAACGAAAAATATATCCAAATTGAATGTCGTCTGAAAGACAATATTTTGTACAAAGATCAAATGCTTTTTGACAATTTTCTATTGCTAATTGATAATTGTTTAACTTAGCATATTGAAAAGCAGTATTATATACATTGGAATAAGTGACGGATGATCATCACAATCAGATCCTAGTAATTTCAATTGAATTTCAAGTGCTTTTTGAGTATTTTCTAACGCATCTAAGTGATTTTCTAATCTCGAATGTGCTATGGATATGTTATGATAAGTTGTGGCAAGTTCTGGATGACCGGGAGAAAACGTATTTAATTGAGTTACAAGTGTCTTCTGAAAATATTGTAATGCTTCTGAATATTGACCGCGATTAATGTAAACTGACGCTATATTGTTGTATGTTAAAGCAAGACTTGGATGATTCGGTTCAAGAACATCTGCATAAATGTTCAATGCTTTCATATAGTTTTGTTCGGCTTCTGAATATTGACCTAGATCCGTATAAACTGAACCTATATTGTTGTAGGTTATAGCAAGTGATGGATGATTTTCAGGTAGAATATGTAATTGGATCTTAAGAGCATTTTGAAGGTTTTCCAATGCTTCTGAATGTTCTTTTTGTTTAATATGTACAAAACCTATATTATTGTATATCGTTGCATTGTCTGGATGATTCAACGGAAGAAAACTAAGTCTAATTTCAAGTGCCCCGCGATAAAATCGTAGCGCTTCAGAATAGTTATAATTTCCATGATTGCTATAAAGTGTCGCTATATTAGCATATATAGTGGCAAGCGCTAACCAGTTAGGCGCAACCGAACTATTTAATTCAATTTCTGTTGCTTTGCTGAAATATTCTAATGCATGTTTAGAGTCGGCTTCATGCAAGAATGCATTGCCAATTTGATTGTAAAGTACACTATTATTTTTCGATGAAGCATCGTTTTTAAGCAATAATATTTCATAAAATTTTAATGCTTTTTTAAATGCACCCATAATCGTCATTAAATTTCCCAATCGTAATAAACAATCTACTTCGCCACCAATTTCTTCTTTTATATTTTCCATTAAGATTTTCAAATGTTCATCTTCTTCATCAGTCAGTCTTAATCGAACATTCCACATATCATTACTCAGTCTTTTAACAGCCTTAATTCTAAAAACGGTACCGATTGAAAATAGAATTTCTTTTTCTGTTTTAAAATAACTTAATTTTTCAATATTAACAAATGGACTTTTATTGATCTCTATATCGACTTCTATTTCAAATAAAACTGTTTCAATACCGGGACGATTTAGTGATTTTGACGCAAATGCAAGGGCTACTTTCCTGTCAGTACTTGTCGACAAGAAATGATTGAATGATAACAGACCACCAATATTTTGTTTCAGTTTTTCAAATTCCTCTGAAGGCATACGATTACCGCGATAAACTAATCGTGATTTCATTGTCTTATTTCTTAATGATTCTGAACGAAAATGTTCCACTTGACGATGAAGGTCCGATATGAAAAATCTAAGTTTATATAGAACATCAACATCTTGTGCTCTCAATGCTTTGTTTAACATTCGGTAGAGAAAGCAATCACGTGTATACCATGTAATAGCTTGACTCGACTGAAAACAGACTCTTGAACGGTTATGTGTTTTATCCGGTAAATAATTTTGTTGAAATTCCTCAATAATTTTTAATTCAGTCAGATTACCAGCATATTGTAGATAACATTCTTTGATAAATTCCGATTTCGCTTGTTCTTCATCATCCATTTGCATCAAAATATCAACTAATACTTTTGACCATAAAAACAAAGCCTCTAATTTATTTCTTGTGGTTGTTGATTCGTCAGTAGGTACAGTTGTACTAGTACTAATAACATCCATTGACACTAAGTTATTTGAACATAGTTGAACATCTCGTTTTAATTGATCAAAAATGTCATCAATATTAACAAAAACTGCACGAACTTTTTCGTATTCTTCGGACCAGGTTTCGTGTTTCCATTTGTCGTGACAAAATATGTAAATGGATTCTAGTTGTGGCATTAAATGAATACGAGGAATGGTTTCCTCACTCAATGATCCAGAAACAATCAAAAATACTTTTTCTTCTCTAATAGTTGTTATAAACGAGACACATTCTGCCGTATTGTCAAACATTTTTAAATAATTAATAACAGAACGTAATTTTGTTTTTAGTAACAAATTATCTTCAGTCTTATCAATATTTGCATCGAGCCAAACGATTAATAAATTTTCTAAATTTCGATCTTGTTTTACTTCGTACTCTCCTTCATCATTAGTTGTTTGACGAGGTTGTTCAACAATGGTAAGCTGATCGCTCGCAGGTGTTGTTTCTACATTATTTGGTGCTGCTGTTCGAGTCAAATATGTGGCAGCAACCAAGTAGTTTAAATATGGTGTCTTACAGCAAGTACCACTGCTAGACTTTGTACTTTTATGTCCCATCAGAAAATTTAACTTCTTTTTTCATCGATGAAAAAAGAATGGAAATGGAGAAGATAACTTTCAAACTATTTTCTGTAGTACGTATACTTGTTTTTACACGCATGATTAATTTTGCAAGGTGAAAATCACGTTATCTTTATGTAAAACTGAGTCATCATCAAAAGAACATGAGAAACATCCGTCTCGCCACTTCACAGTGGACATTTTTTGCTAGAGCAGGCGGACTTTAGCTTTATAAGTGAACGAAAACCATTTTTCTGAACCATTTTTCTATAGGTTATTCATGATCCTCTTTCTAATGGCATGAGCGTTGGGTTTTGAACAAGTTTTCTAAGGAGTTTTCCAGAAACCCGGTCTCTGGAAAACCCTTCACGAAACTTTATCAATATTTAAAAACGCTGCCACTGGAAAGAGCATTATCGAAAACCTATAAGAAACATGTTTCGAGTCGTTCAGGTTACTTTATCTTGAAATTCAAATTTTCAGCACGAAATTGTTTGTGTGAATCTCAAAAACTAAGAAAGGATAATTTGCAAAAAATTTCGAAAAAATTTTTTTTCAAATAATTTTATATTTCTGTATATATTCTTGTAGAGCATCAAAAGTTACATAAGAACTGTAATTGTTTTTTTGAAATTCTTCCGTTATCCTATCGAAAAACTTAGGAACATATTTATGCATTAGAGCCCTATTTTTCAGGGTGGCAACCTAAAAACTTTAGCCAAATAGTCATTTTCCATCCGAGAAGGTTGAATAATAGCTCATTTTAAAGCTAATGCTTTCTAATTTATTTTTAAAAAAATAACTTTTCAAAAATCTATCATCTTCTCAATTTTATTAGAAAAAAACTAAAAAATTAAAACAAATCTGAGTGAGAGGGTTCTAAAGCTTTTAATATAGGCTGGCCATAGTTCTTAATAGTTGAATGTGGTATCATTTTGTAGGTAATTAAAAACTACACAACATGTCTCAAAATTAAAATGGTATTTT